CTTCCTTCCTTCCTTCCTTCCCTCCCTTCTTCCTTCCTTCCTTCCCTTCTTCCTTTTCCCACTTTCTCTCTCCTTTGTTAATTAATAATTTATTTTTCGTGGATACGTTTTCACTATAGTCTCTTAGCTTTCAAATGCCAGTGGAAAGCAGCTTATCTTGAGCTCTTCTTTTTCCTTCTGTCTTTTTTTAAACAGTAGTTTTTGTTAAGACTGTGGATACCCAAACAAGTACAGAGCTTTGAATTTGCAGACCTTCGTTACTTCAGGATATGTACTTGAATGTAAGGTCCTACCTGGTGGAGCACCTATTGCACTTTCAAATTTTAGCTTAGTTTATGATGCGATCTGTCTTGACACTCAGAACAGTCCTGTGAGCATGCCAGTAATCAGTTTGATAGCATGGAATGGGAGCTATCATTTGTAGGATACTATCACTATACTGTACCTTTGTGGGAGCTATCATTTGTTTCAGAGCAATTGCTTTTCTGTTACAAAATGATGCCTACCACTGGAATTATTTCATTCTAATACTGTCAACATCAGCTAATGCAAAAATATTTTTCTGCTACACAAGGAGCTATTTTGCATGCCTATACCTCTAGTGCTCTTTTCAAACTCAATTCCACTGTGAATTTGACTTATGTTTTTGGGGTGTTTTTATAAATGCCAATTTGAACAAGCACATATCTGAATGATGAGACCTGTGAGAATTGCTCCAAGCAGTATTTTGCCACTGATCCCAGTTGGGCATTTAGGGTCACAGTCCTAGGCTGCTTCCTAATGCTGAATTCACCATTAGTTTGCCAGTTAGGTTTTGGAGAGGCAAGCCCCACTGTGTCRCTCCATTTTTTTACTACAGAAATTCTAACTGGAATGGATGGAATAAGCAATATATTATGCTAAATATTATGGACACTTATACCTAAAGTAATTGTTAAAAAGATACCATGTTCCCACCATTTTTTTTTCCAAATTATTGTTCTTATTTTAATCATTTACAAACATATCTATTTGTTTTAGGTTCACTGGCAGCATGTGGAGACCATTGAGCTGGTGAACGATGGCTCTGGCTTGGGTTTTGGAATAGTGGGAGGAAAGTCGACTGGAGTGATAGTTAAAACCATCCTCCCTGGAGGGGTAGCTGATCAGGTAAATTCAAAACTGCCTAGCATTTCCCACTCAGAACARTGTGAAGTTGTTATTTATCTTTCTAATGCTGTTGAATAGCACCAACTTTTCTCCTCACAAGTGTAAGAAACAGAGCAAGCAAGTCCAAAAGCTTGATTAGGCTTTAAATCACTTTTTCAGACCTGTCACAGTGTCCTTGACTTGTGCAGATACATTCAGACCCCTCTACCTGACAGAGAGCCCCGTCCTGCCCCAGCCTGCCCCAGCCTGCTGGCTCACCTCCCATGAGGTGAGCTGAGTCACAGACTCACAGACTGGTTGAGGTTGGAAGGGACCTCTATAGATCCTCTACTCCAAYCCCCTGCTCCAGCAGGGACACCCAGAGCACGGGGCACAGGRCRGCATCCAGGCGGGTTGGGAAGATCTCCAGAGAAGGAGACTCCACAGCCTCCCTGGGCAGCCTGTGCCAGGGCTCTGTCACCCTCACTTTCCTGTAGTGTCCTCTGCTGTAGAGGGGCTCAAGGGATGGGTAGACACTGAGGCCAGTCAGCTTCCTGCCTGCAGGACCTCTTCCCCAGGAAAGGGCTTCAAGAGGTGTCAGCTGGAGCAGTGACCAGAAGGATGGGATCATTTTTCACAACTGGTGTGGTTAGTTCAGGTGAAGCGTTTTTATTGTTTAAAAAAAAAGATGGTAACTTTGGCAATAAAAATAAATCAGTAAGAGAATAGAACAGTATAAAGAAGTATCTGCAATCAGATCACTGCAAGTGAGAAATGCATTTTTGATTTTCTGTTTTTATCTTTATTTTTGACCTAATCCTGAGGATAGTTTTTTAAATAAAAATGTAAAGCTTGAATGAATTCATACATGCTCCCATTTGGACATGAAACCTGGGATTCTTTAATGTGCAGAGTAGTAACCATAATTGGAAGGGATTTTTCCTTTTTTTAGTGTGCTCAGGAGGGGTCTACTTGAAGTCTGTTGTAGGAGTAGCATGCTCATTGGTAACCTACTGCTGTGTGCTATCAGGATGTTGACACGGCATTCAAAAATGAAGTTACTTATCTTAAAAGTTACAGCATCCATGTATTAGTTTTTCARTGAAACTGTCTTTTTGATTGAATTTTCAGTGATACACCTGAGGGAAATGTCAGAGTGCTATGGGCTCTTTATTCGCAGTTATAGTAACTCAGTGGTTGCTTTCTCCAGCATGGCAGGTTATGCAGTGGAGACCACATCTTGAAAATCGGCGACACGGACCTGGCTGGAATGAGCAGTGAGCAGGTGGCGCAGGTCCTGAGGCAGTGTGGAAACCGAGTGAAACTGGTAATCGCAAGAGGTCCTCTTGAGGATCCACCACCACCAGCAGTGCCTCCAGGCACACCAGTACCCGCCTCCACGCCAGAGAAGCAGGTAGGGTCCAGCCAATATGCACACTTGTACTGCGAACTCATACGTAAAACATTTTTTTTTATTGGAATACCTTGCACATATGTGTTCTTTAGAGTCAGTGTTTTCATTCCCACCAGCAGTTTTCTCAGCCTACACACTGAATTTACATGTCATCAGTAACAGTGCACTTGGAACCTTTCAAGATCCAAGCGAGGGGACAGMGAAACGATTCCAAATGACTTCTGGGTTGATTAATTCATTAACTTGTTTGTGGTTATGCAGAAATACTTCGGGAACAGCAGAAACGGTTTAGTCTCCTCTTCAGATGGAGTAGTCTGGTGCTGCAGCACTTCCCTACCTGCCCATGCTTCCCCCTCGTTCCCGTGTCATCACTGCATCCATCAGACAGCTCCTCGCTGTGCCAGCCAGAGCACAGATGCTGCTTCTTTCCWGCGTCAGCTGGCGCTGCTCATTTGCTAGTTGTTTTCCAAAAAAGCAGCCAGCCAGCTGCTGCCCTCGCTTGCCTGCGATGGCTGCACTCGCTCCACTCTGTTGCTCCTCAGGCTTGTCATGGCTCCATCAGCTGCTGCAGAGCTGGTGTAAACACCACAATGTTTAGTCAACCTAAAGCCGCTGTGAAACAGGTTGTTTTTGTGTGCGTACAGGAAAGTCTAGKTCCGGAAAAGTCAGGATCAGTGTTGTTTTGCAATATGGAATTAAGAGCAGATATGTGGAAGTGTTTTGAATACATGAAATGAATGAATTAAATAAGAAAAAGGTGGTTTGTTTGGGGTCTAAAATAGGTAGAATTTATGCTTTACAGAATTCACTTCCGTTTTCTTGTCACTTAAAAAAAAAGTCTTCTGTGGCAATTCTTTGCATATTTTTTTACATGTTTTACATCTTTTTTACATTTTTTTTTACATCTGTCCATTTTGGTGGTTTCTATATAAAAGGACAAAATAATCAGATATAATAATCCATTCTGTATTGGCTAAAAGTCGGACTGAAGAAGATTATTGCAGTATCCACACTTGAGTTTTTCGTGAGCAATGGAGAGGAGAATTTGGGATTTTTGTATTTGTGCAGTCTTCAGAGGTGTGAGGGTCTGGCTGTATTTTGAAAGAGGAATTAATAAAATGAAAATTATTTATTTGCAAAGTAGTTGTCTTGGAGAAAAGCTGAATTTGATACTATGCTTGTTTCTTTGCTRTGTATCTTTCTGTGGTTATGTGGTGTGACGTTGAATGCCGTGGCTGCACTTTCTGGGAGCATGGGTGGTATTTTCAGGACTAAGGGCTCAAATGCCCTGGGGAGCCAAAACCAACTTTTTTTCCACCTTCTTGAAGCCCTAAACATGTACTCATGTATTGATACATACAACTATCCATTCTAGTCAATTAGAGGATGTATTTCTTTTTAAAAAAATATATATGTTTTAAAGTAGTGGAATTAAGTTCTTTTCATTATTTTTCTTTTAAAATAGAAGCTATATTGTTGAAAGGGAATTTTAATATGCAGTCTGCTATGGTAATAAAACCACTTTCATTTGAAATAAATAAAAGAATTCATTACCACCAAAAATCTTTGTTGCAGAAGTTCCAGGGACTGTAGTGAGTGTTAGTGGTGATTGTCATTATGTAACTAGCTGGAAGTATAATTGCTACTTTCTAAAATAGAAATGTTAAATCCTTCTGTAAACAGGAAACATTATTGTTTTAATAGAAATAGCATTCGTTACATTTCAAACTTGGGGTGCAAAGAAAAAAATGGCTAGCGTTGCTGAGCAGGAATTTAAACAAATTGAATACAAAAATTATTTCTGATGATTCTTTTGTGCTAACAGTTTGTGGAGCTGAAGTGAGCTACAAGTTAAAATATTTAAGTGTGGTTTGTGTAACATACTGTAGGTGACAGTGTTCAATTTGTGCAGGTTTCACCGTTCGTTTTGGCTACCAAGTAATGATTTTGTGGGATGGAAGGTAAGTACCCTAGGGGCAGAGAGCAGGAGAGAACAGGACCCCAGCTGCATTGTTATCTCTGTGTAGAATATCTGTCAAATACCAGGGGAAAAAAATTTGCTGCTTTCTGAGTAACATTTATGTTCAATTTGTGTTAAGTGTTACATTTTAGCATTAATGCTATTAAAGAACGTGGTAGACTGTCTAGAAATACTTCTAATCTCYCTTTTTTTTTTTTTAAATTTATTTAGGTGGAGGCTTCTGCTGACAACTGTGAAGATGGAGAGAAGTTTAATGTGGAACTCACTAAAAACATCCAAGGTTTAGGAATAACTATTGCTGGTTACATTGGAGACAAAACATCAGGTAGTGTTAGTCCCCTGGTGCTTGATTCAACGTTGCTGTTGCTCAGAGTGGGGCAAGCTGCACTGTGCACTTAAATAGAGTTTTGATATAGCTCCTCTGCACAAAGCTTTGATTCCTATAAACTTTTCTAAAGTTTTTTTTTCCTTGTTCCTAAATATAACATCATCAACAACAACAACAAAAGTGTTTTTCTGTAGGAAGTATAAGATTTGGATTAGAAACATAAATATTCATTACAAAATCCATCCCCTGGGTCTTGCATCTTTTTTAAAATTCACTCTTAGCTGAGACTTGTCATAGGTATATTTTGAAAAACATATTCTAAAGTGGATTGAGGAGGCAGCTTTAATCAGAAGTGGCTGGGCTTTTAAAATTATGTTTTCATTTTAAAAGGTTCTTATGAGATAATGCAGTAATATCCTAAGCAGTTTTAGGAGGGCTTCTGTCTTAAGAAAAAACTACAAGTATAATGTTACTTGCAAATGAAGAATTTCTCACAGTGACCTTGAATATAATAGATCTCAGTATTGCTAGTTGACCTCTTCATCTATTGGAAATTCACATTACTGTGAGCCACTGATTTGGGAGCCAGAGTTGTTTGTTTTTACCCATAATTTCAACTATATTTCTTTCTATGCAGAATTGCTCAGTCTCACAGTTTAGCAAATACAAATACTGCCATGAAAGGCTGATTGTGTCAGTATACTTTGCTATGATTTTTATACAAGTGTATAATTTTAGAAAAATAGTAGGGATAGGTATGTGCCACATCAATGTTGGTTTACAGACATAACATCTGGCTTTGAGAAGCTGGTCTAAATTTTAATGGTCCATTAAGTTATCTTCCATAGGGATGGATAGTAAGCATTTATGYAATTCTACTTTCTAGCATCTTTGGGTAAGCTGTTAAAGGTAAATTAAATTAATACATCTCTTGCTACGTTATTTTAATTGATTTAATACTAGGGTATCGCTAATCCAGTTGTTAAATTATTTTGCTGCACATAACTATTTAAAAATGTTCATGCCTTTGGAACTAACTGAGCATCTCGCATAATCCTATAACTTAGAACATGGTTAAAGAATTACCATGCTTCTAAAAATGCAGTAATATAGCTACTGGACCATAAGATCTGCAACTCAATAATAAGGTCTGCATATAAGGTCTCAATAAGGTCTGCAGCTTCACCTAGGCTAATAAGTCTTGTTACCTCCTAGTTGTTACAGGATATAAATACACTGGGAAATAAGGAAGACTAGAKATTTAATTATTCAGAAAATCTGAGAACAAAATGAACTGAGAAAAAATCAAAAGAGATGAATATTAAATGTTTTACAAAGAAAAAYAGTGATATCATGGCTTAAATACATTTGTTTTCTTATTCTTCACGGGTTTAGTCTAGTCATTAGAGCAAAACACAGATGCCTCAATGCCAACTTCAGTCATATTGAGGCAAGGTAGAAAATGAGTATTAGGTCTGCAAAGATACTGATGGGGCTTGAAAAATGCTGGAAACCTTTTTAATAGATTATCTTCATTCAGAAATTATTTAATTATTTTACAAAACAGAATGTTTTGTAAAGTGTGTCTTCCATATCTGCTTCATATATCATCTTCCCCAATTTCACAATTAATGGTTATCTGGAATGGGTTTGTTGCTGATGTGTTTTTTTCCTTCTTTTCTTTTTTTTTTTTTTTCATTTTTTTTCTTTTAATTGCATCAAATGCTAATTTATAGTTGTATCTAAAAGCAAATTCAAATGTGGTTGTCCTGCTTGCTTGTATTTTCTGGATTTGATTATCCAAATTCATTTTTTTACGTGGACATAGGATATATAATAAGTTTATGAAAGAACTGATAAATAGTTGCAAGTGTACTCAGACTGAATTCTTCCCTTCAGACAAGAGTTAAATATCATTGTTAGTGTTGATTTCAAGATTTAGGTTAAATTAAATTAWATTTTTGTTGTTTTTTTTTTCCCACAGAAAGTAAGATTTTGAGCTTGTTAAGTTTTGAGTAAAATRTGGAAGTGTGAGATAATGTGAATTACATTCAGCCTTTAGAAAAATAGGAAGAAAATACATATGTTTTAGGTTAAGCATATACTTTCTTACTAATTGCTTATCTTGCTTAGAGATATGTTTTCTTTTTTTTCTTTTTTTTTTTTTTTTCTTCCTTTGGCTAATATCCTTCGTATGAGATTGTTGAATTATTTGAATTATTTCCTTAATAAATTATTTAATATAATTTTCTCTCTTTTCATCCCAGAACCTTCTGGTATCTTTGTGAAAAGCATTACAAAGGGCAGTGCTGTTGAACATGATGGCAGAATCCATGTAGGAGATCAAATTATAGTAGTAAGTAAACACAGAAAGGAAAATGTTGATTGGGTCATATATGTAATCAATTGTCTTGTGTGCAAAAAGC